CAGAAATGTTATTTGGAACTTGGCTTGGTGACACACACCAAATAATTCCAGCTACCTGGGAGGCTGAGGCAGGAAGATAGATAGATAGATAGATGATGGATGGATAGATAGAGATTGTTCTGTTTCCTTTATTCATTTGGTTTTTTATTTTGTTTTTTTGAGATAGGGTCCTCCTATGTAGTTCACGCTGCCTTTGAGCTCACTTTGTAGCCCAGGCTGACCTGGAAGTCACAGTGATCCTCCTCAGCCTCCCAAATGCTAGGATTACAGCCATGCACCACTATGGCTGGTACATTCAGTTTTAAGAACTTTGGTTTTTTTTGTTTGTTTGTTTTGTCTTTTTGTTTGTTTGTTTGGTTTGTTTTTTGTTTTGTTTTGTTTCCGGTACCGGGAATTGAATTCATGACCTTGCACTTGCCAGGCAGGCGCTGTGCCACTGAGCTAAATCCCCAGCCCCTGTTTTATCTTTTTGAGACAGGGTTTCACTATGCAGTTCAGGATGGCCTTAAGCTCACTTTGTAGCCCAGACTGGTCTTGAACTTGCAATGATTCTCCTGCCTCAGCGTCCCAAGTGCTGGGATTACAGCCACCGTACCACCAAGGCTGGTACGTTCAGTTTTAAGGACTTTGGAAGGATGGTTTAAGATCACTCAGTAGGTGGCGGGGGATTTACCTCAGCGGCACAGCACTTGCCTGGCAAGCGCAAGGTTGTGAGTTCGATTCCCAGTACCAGAGAAAAACCAAACCCAAACCAAACCAAAACAAAACAAAACAAAAAAGATCACTCCGCAGGAGTGGTTTCCCATGTGAAACCACACTGGGAATCAGTCGGCTGGCTGGCCTGAAGGCCAGGGTCAGAAGCTGCTCATGACTCAGGCTTCAGAGGAGAGCTGCTAGAAGACAAGGGAGGAGAGTGCACTGCTGCTTTCAGAACTGTCTGCTACCTTTGAATGCATGCCCCGGAGTTCCCAGTTTCCATGTCAGTCAGCACAGGCTGGGGTGTGCTGCGTAACAACACTTCAGTTTGTAACGACAGCAGTCCAGTGCTGGTCAGTGGTGAAGGTCTACTCCTTGTCACTCAAAGAATAAGGCAGAGGAGAAAGCTCCATCTCCATGTGAGCACCCATGATTATCGTTAGAAACAGGAAAATGTGGTGAAACACACCCTGACTTTTATAGCGCCACTCACAAGTGACACAGGGTAAGTCCCACATTTTATTCATCAGTCACAGCCATAGTTAGAAGAGGTCAGAGATGGGAGCTCTTTCCATGTGCCTGGAAGGAGAGAACTGGAAAGCCTGTGGACAGCCCTAAGGACAAAGTACAGATTCCTGTGGGTCCCCAGGAAAGTCAGCGCCCCCATATAGAGGGCTACAACCGTTTTCTGGATCAGAACCCACCGCAGACACCCACTAAACAAACTCTCATCACGTGGGTCAGCAACAACCACAGAGCAGACGACTCAGACAAACACTGAACTAGGGAAGGCAAGCGAAGAGAAGAGTTTCTCTGTGAGAAGCTGGTGATCACTTCTGAGATAGATAATCAAAAAATTGCCTGGATCTGGTTAGTGACCAGAAGTGAAATACTCAGCAATGTGCGGGGATATGGTGGCCATGGAACACTTCAGTACAACCCACAGGTCAGCATCCTGGAGGGTCAAATGTCAGGAGCAGGGCTTTCTGCTGCCAGTAGAAATTTCCATGTGACACTTCACATTCATGATGTAGGTAACACTACATTTCTTTTCACAGATGTACCTTATTTTTGTCTTTTTCAGACAGGGTCTTGCCATGCAGTTCAGGCTGGCCTTGAGCTCACGTTGTAGCCCAGGCTGGTCTCGAACTCTCAAAGATCCTCCTGCCTCAGCCTCCCTAGTGCTGGGATTATAGGTGTGCACCACCACACCTGGCCTTGTTTTGTTTTGTTTTGTTTTGTTTTTGTCCTTTTGAGACAGGGTCTCACTATGCAGTTCAGGCTGGCCTTGAACTCACTTTGTAGCCCGGATTGGTCTCACACTCACAGTGATCCTCCTGCCTCAGCCTCCTGAATGCTAGGATTACAGGTGTGCACCACCACCAGCTGGATGTTGGTCTTTAATCTTGGATTGTAGATCAAAGAAGAAAAAAATAGAGTAAATCGACAAGAGTAAGATTTTTTCAGATTGGAATTCTACTAGTTTGACTTTCAGTAACAAGACCTGCCAAAGATCTGGGAATTTGAAAATCAATGATGATATGTATCTGTGTATCAGTCAGTGGTCATTAGAGAAAGTGATTTAATCCAAGATACCTAAGTACATAAGGATTTACAAGACTGGTTTAAAAACAGTGGCCGCCCGGAGAGGAAGGTGTGGAAGAGTGGGTAAGGGCGGTCTGTGCTGGAGACAGCGGGGTCCAGTCAAAGGCCTGGAGGGTCCCGTGTGGCTCTATATCTGGAGGCTGAAGCATCTGTGCCGGGAGACAGTCTAAGGCAAAGGTGGAGACGGAGCTCCTGCGAAGAAACAGACGTGAGCCTGCCTTCTTTGTTTCCCCTTATGCTGTTCAGGTGACAATCCTACCCAGGGTGTGTTCTGTCTTCAGTAACCCCTCAGCCACACCCAGAACTGTGCATCCAGTTCAGTTGTGCGTACCTTACTCAAATTGACATAGTGGGTTTTTTTGGTCTTTTTGACACAGGGTCTCACTATGCAGTT